CTACATGCCAAACGTCTGTTTAAGTTACCAAATTTGTCCCTAAATGTTTTTTATAAGAGTGCTATGCGATAAAAGGAAAATACTTGAGAGAAAGTCAGCGCTGATACTGATGTCTGGACACGTTGTAACAAGGTGCTCCACTGATGTCAGCTCAGCCCTCTTTGATGCTCCTTTGCTCATCTTCTTCACCTTCTCCTCAAAAACGGAGCACAATCCCGACTGTCTGTGATGACACTCCTACGCGTTAGAGGTTACACCAACTAAATAATCAGAATTGCTTCAGTGCATTAGTGCTGGAAAGTAAGGTTATATATTTAGGAGTCTGGCCTGAGTCGGAGGGGATACCGCATTCCTTTAAGATTAAACTAACAAGCCAAAAAACCTGCCCTTTTCTCCGGCACGGGGAAGAACAGGTAAGGCCTTGTGTAGATGCTGTGGCCACGCTCTCACTCACATCGTTACACGCTGAACCCAAACATCCAGGAGGCTCAACACTCCATATTTCCCCGTTATAGAAACACGGGAGTGTGGAAGCAAGGCCGCCTCGGCCTATTTGAAGGCGGGCAACGGGGGAAACGCTGCTATTCAGCCTTTCCTGTGGTTTGCCATATCAGCTCCGCTTTAAGTCATCTTCTGACTTAAACAACTAAAATAAAACATAAATGCCAAGAAGAAAAAAAATGGAGGATGTGAAAAGAAAGAGCAGACTGCTTTATAATACTGGTGTTATGTTTCATTAGGGTGAAGCCGTTCCAAGATAGACCAATTTTTCAAAGTGTTAGGTAGTTACTTCCTCTCTGAGGGCTTATATCGGATAACGGTAATTCACCCAGCTTGATGCTATTGAAATGGATGAGTGGCTGCAGGATCTTGTTAAGTGTGAAAATAGCACAGCGACGCTTTAAAAGCTTCACTGGTTAACGCAATGGCATTAAGCTACCCGGTAATTATGGTGCATTTAAAAATCATAGCTATGTGCAGAATGAGTTTGCAACGCTATCCAAAAATACGCACCAATTTGGCTCTCATCTCGCCAAAACACCAACGGGATATTGAACATTTGCACTGATTTATAGCAAGCGAGGCGTTAGCACTTTTTTTAAGCAAGCGTTCAAATGTTTATTGGCCCTTTAAGGAGATTGTTTTTGAGTCTAATGTCAATGCTTTGAATAGGCAGAACCCTACGATAAGCACTCAGCTGGCAGGTTACCTTATCATAATAGTGTAATTAGCCCCAGAGCGACTGAATATTAGGACAGAACAAGAGATAATATACAGTGCACTGTGAGTATTTACACTGAGTTCTACATTTGTTGTTGCAGTCTGCATATTACAGAGATGAGAGTAATCTCCCTCATTTCACTGCTTTATTTTGAAAGTAGTGAAGCAGACATTGTACCACATCGAGACCACAAAGCACAGCGATTCACAGCAAAGACACCGCATTTATAATTTCAGAAAGCAGCAGAGGCTTTCTCAACGTTCGTTCCCCTTTAGTAAAGTATATCAACCCTTTATTATTTTTTAAAATGACAGAAAACTCTCCACAACTTTCACATCACACTCGATTTTCAGACCGTAAAAATCACAGCTTACGTTATTCCCACGACGCTTTCATTTAGACTTTAATAACAGCCTAAAGTCTATTTTTGGGCACAATCAGCCTCACATTCACAGTACATTTGAGTGAATTACACACCAATTAATCTATCTTTGATTAAACCCCGATCACATTAACGCTCCCTGATTACCCCGAGGAATCATGTAGGCTAATGTAAACCATCAGCACTAATAAGTTCTAATAGCTGGCGCAGCTCGCAAACACAAACAGCGCTATTTTACTCCATCAATATGACCCTGCTGGGATTAAATAACATGTTTGCCTCAGAGGTACAATTAAGCGATGCTAAATAGAGTTCCTTTGAGCCTGGAGTTAAGGGAAGAGTCTCCGCTGCACAGTAGCAGCCAGTGAAGCCCTCACATCGTCCTCCCCCCACTCCCCCGACCCATCCCCCGGCATTTTCAAATTACCTATTGATGAGTGGGCTTCACGTCTCTCCACGGGTGGATGAGGGGGTGGGAGGGGTGAGGCGAACGGGTGGGAGGTGGTGGTGGTGGTGCGGTGGGATGTCTGGTTCACTTTTAAGACGTCTCCAAGAAGCAGGCCTGTGGTTAGATCTAAGGCAACACTTATGCAACAGAAGCTCCCTTTCTCAAATACATATATACGGTTTCCCTGCAAATTATCCGAGATTTTCTTCGGGGGGGAAAGTTTTCCGCCTGGAGTTTTCAGATATTTACCCACATCGTCCCCGCTTTCTTTCTTTTGATGTTGTTGATTCGGGTCCGTCTGTGTGTAAGCACTTCTGTTTCCCCCCCTCTCGACTGCGACTGCACGGCTTTGCTGAACGATAATTGCTCCCATGACTTAATTGTCTATATGTAATTAAGTTTGTAATAGAGAAAAGAGGCACTTAAATGTTCCCCGGAGAGGCACGGTGGCTGAGTGGGTGCCACACATGTTGAAGATTATTCTGCCCTCTCCATCTGATCTGCCAGTATGAGGAGTTATAAAAAAAATGTATTCAAAGCAATTAAATTAAAATTGCCTCATGTAAATGCCAAGACAAATTTTAATGAGCCCCCTCTACTTTAATTTGGAATATTTGCCCGTTCCCTCAAGTCAGCTCAATTTATCGCTGCATGGGAATGTAGGCTCGACTCTAAATTAAAAATGTCCTTAATGAACACAAATATACAGACGGATGGAGTAATGTGGCTTTCTAACTACAAAAACAGTATTTTGTGCTCTCGGCAAACCGGCTGACGCTGGGCAAAATGATCCAGGAGAAACACGGGAGCGGGGGGACTTGAAGAAAATATGTAAAATCAACAAAAGTCAACGCTCCAGCTCTCTTTATATCCACTTCATGCATTTTAAGTTCACAGGAACTGATAAGGATGCTTACAGATGTAAATATTTATGCCACAAAATCCACGTTTTACGTTCTTATGCAAGTCAAATGAGTTCAACGTTACTTTTTCCCCTTCCTTTTTTTGTTTGGCTAAAGCAAAAAAATATCCAGGGTGCCATTCCTAATTTTTTGCCAGTTCAGATGCAGCGCAGTACACTACATTTATTTATTCAGAATTATAAATACAACAGAAAGAACTGGTGGTCTTGCAAAATCACACCGTGCCGTCAGGGGGGCTTTTTGTGGTTGCACTGACAGATTTACTACCCAGATGTTCATAAACAGGGGCAAAGTCAATGAGGCGTGGCACGGCATCAATCAGCAAACCTTGATGTCTGAGAACTGATCAGGGATTATCATCCTTATGGGGTGTCTTCTCTACCTGAGCATCTGCACACATCTGCTCTTCTCTCTCCCACGGCGTGCTTTCAATTTCCTGCACTGCTGCTCCTCTCCTCTCCTGCGCTCCGACCCCCTCCACCGCCCTCCCCCCTCCGAGACACGGCGAAAGGTCAGGGGGTTAACATGGTAATAGGTGGTGGTGATTGGTAGAAGACGCTCACTCTCTCCCAGCTTTCAGAGTGTATTAGGAGCCACCCTGCTTCTGTGCGGAGCGGGAGCCCAGAAGAACAGCTGTGTCTGACCACCGAGCGACTTCTTAAAAACATCTTTTAAACATTTGATTTGGACAAGACGAGCGGGAGGCTATGGACCGGAGCGGGAGGCAGGAGGGCGGCGGGTTGTGGGGGGGGGAGAGGAGGAGGTCGTCTATTAAGCTGAGCCTGTCTATTTCTTGTGTCGCAAGGGAAGGAAAATGTTTGTTTAAATTTGAAAATTCATCTTGTAAACCATTTATTTTGCTGATTGAATTAGACTGTGTAAAGAAGCTGTCACAGTACAATAGAGCAAACCCAAAACACAGGCTGCAGCCTGGAGAACGCAAGCTGGCCTTCACAGGTAGTTGAAAATCATTAGGTTGTCACTGCTACCGTTCACAGGTTTTTGGATTTGTTTTGCTTCTACTTCCATATAGATCCACTTCAGGAAGGAGGCACAATCTTGTATTTATTTGGAAGATATGATATTAAGAATATATATTATTAGATATTAGATCATCACATTAAGAATAACGTAATTATTTCTTTGGTTGTAAAAGTGCAAATTAAGAGCTTCTTACACACACGAAAGACATTTCATCTTTTTATCCGTTTGTGTAGAAGTGAATAAAGTCAAACACAATCACTGTGATACGTTTACATTAATCATTACAGACTTAAGCACCGAATTCATAGAAAGGAAGTCAGCATGGATCAACTTCGTGTTCAATCTGGATTTATGTCTGTCGAGTAAATGCTCCCTGGAGCCTGCAGAAATCGACACCGATTAATTAACGACAGCAGCGCAACTAAACAATTTCAGGAAGCGATTACAGATCTTTCTTGGCAAACTAATCAATACTTCTTCTCTATGCGCAAGCACAGGCGCCCAACACACACAGCCCAGTAATCCCCCCACATCTTGTTCCAATGCTCCACTGTAAACTCCCTTGTGCAGCGTCTGTTTACGTCTGTCAAAAATATCACCCGTGCCTTTGTTTTTGGTTCCGCAATGGCATCGCTTTGTAAATCTAAGGGTATGTTGCACAAACATATCATCTCCCTCTTTGGAAAATATTTATAAACATCACATAGAATAAATACTGGAATCTCTATGGGCAGATTTTCTTTTCTTGTTGGTTTTTTTTTGGGTGCACAAAGAAAAAAGAGAAAAAGCCTTGATGATAGTTGGGTGTTTCGTCCGCCACAAAAGCTTGGACCTTGACAGCGGGGTCCTCCATGACCTCAGCTGATCCCCTCCACTCGTCTGGACCCAAAACATCAGACCAGTTCCAACATCTTCGCCCGCTTTCCTCGAACCCCATTAATTCCACCACCCAAGCCTCTCCACCTGACCCCAAGTCCTTCCTGTGACCCGAGCCCCCCAACCCAATCCAGACACAACAGGGAGCAGGAAAGTGGTACTCACCCCAGAAGAAGTTTTGCTGACATGGTGTCACTGTGCTGAAAAGGCTGTTAGATGCCATAGCTGCCTCTGGTTGCAGCAAGCCCCACTTTTGTTCTTCTGTGGTTTCCTTGACCCTTGACACGTCCTAAACCAAGAGCACGCAGCATGTCATGAAGAAAAAAAAATGGAAAAGCCATCCACAAGACATGCTTTTACGTATCAACTATTTGGATGACCACAAGTAACAACCAGGTCTGGTTTTATAGAGGAAAAAAAAATTGCAGAGACAAATATCGCCTTTGCGGATAGATCAGATGGTGTCGGACTTGCTTGCTTGGCGAGTGTGGTTGGAACGTACTTACTCGCTTAGCGCCGTCCTTGTGACTGGTGCTGGCCCGCGACGATTAACCATTTACACTCCAGGTTGCCCTCAAACACCAACCCCGAGCCGCACGTCTGTGGTTCTGTGGTTGTTTGGGAGGCGAGCAGAGCCCTCACACAACCCAAAAGGCACCAGCTTTAAAACTCGTCTCTTTCCTGCCCTCCATGTGCCGTCACTGGAGAGCCTGGGTCACATGCCCTCTGACGTCATCACGGCACAGCAGTTGAGTTGGGACAGCCTACCGTTGTGGCTTTCTTCCCTCTCCTCTCCTTGGACTTTTTTTTCCTCTACTCTCTGGCTCCCCTCCTCTCTTGCGCGTGGTTCGGCAGCATTTCCAGGCTCTCTGGGGATCGGGGTCTGACGCTCCCATGAGTCAGGAGGCTTCAGTGGGGGCAGCTTGTTCAACCGCCCATGCCTCCTCAGCATATGGGGAGCAGTGCTCTCTCTTGGGTTGGTCTCCCTTCACTCTTTCATCCCCCTCCCTCCTCACTCTCTCTCCTCAAACTCTCTCTCTCCCTGACACTGCTGCTCCTTCCCTCAACTCCTTTAGCAGGCTGCCGTGCTGCTCCTGTCTGCCTCTGAGCAGGGAGAGCTCAGCTTGGTAAGATTTGAGGGTGTGAGTGAGGAGTGAATGGCTGGCTGGCTGGTGGTGGTGTGAGACTGGGTGTGTACGCGCGTGTGTTTGTCTGCAACAGAAAGAATTGGGGAAGAGAGGAAAAAGCTGGACGAGCGCATGTGTGTGAAGGGAAAGCGGAGGTGGTGTGACGCTCTGCTTATTTACCGAGGAGCGTTTCTGAAGAGTCGTCTCGGTGCAGCCTGAATTTGTTCTTTCTCACTCCTTGCACGTTGCTGTGTCACAAACAGTAGTTATGTCACCGCGTTATTACCGTAATAGCCGTGTTTGTGCATGTATGCATCCAAGCTTATACTGAGCTTTCATTGGCTCTCACTGAAGCAGCAGTCAGGGGGGCGATTCCCGTAAGAGGCCATAGATCATGGCCACCTGTCTTTTCTGTAAAAGAGATGTCTTCTAACAGGAGACACACACATACTATCACCCTGCCAAGAACGGCCTGCCAACCTGTAGCGCAGAGCAGGCAGGTCTCGACAATTAACAGTGAATCATCACACGCTCCCCACACACACACACACACACACACACACACCGATTCCCACACCCTCGCACATCTCAGCACGGTTTGTCTTTTGATCCCTGATCACAGGTGTTTGTTACAACACATCACAAAAACACAGACGGGGTGTCAGAGGAGAAGCAGAGGAATGTGTGGAATGAAGCTGGCAGTTCAGTCAGGTTTGAAAGTGTTAACAGTATCTTAATCATTCTTTCATTTGCCAGCAGGCATGTGTGACTAAGAGTCGAGCAGCTCCTCAGCCTTTTGTCTTTCTGTCTTAGGAGTTGTTTTTGCCAGTTGAAACGTTCTCCCTTTAATTAGCCGTTAGAATAAACCTATCAAATGCTTATAATTTATGAGATGATAGCCATTCATGTAGGTAATTTTGCTTTTATGTGACAGTTTCTTTTAATATTCTACCTAGGTATTGTAACCTGTGCCAATATACACTGGAGAACAGTCAACTTTTATTTGTGCGGCTCACCACATTCATTCATTAAACCTACAAAGAAACAAAAAGAAGCAATAAACATAATAAGAGATGCCACAGCTACTATGGAAAATACTCTTGTTGTGAGTGAAGATCATTGGGGGTGTTTCTTAATCGAAATGATACAAAGAAGCTCCAATGATCCAATGACACCGGGTTCTGTGGGTTGTTCATGCTACTTGTGATTTAAGAAAAATAATATATAATTCAGGCCCTGCTAATAATGTATGTGTCGATTGTAATGTATCCATACTGCTCCTGGTTTGGCAGGAGAAAATCACTGTCTATACACACAGATACACATTTTAGAAACAAATTAGAATAAGTGTTTTTTTTTTATTTAACAGTCTGCTTTTAAATACTATATTAAAAATAGACAGCACATTAAAATTTGGGTGTTTTTAAAAAACATATAAAATAGCATTTAAATACCATGCCTAAGCAACAGTCATGAAAAATTTAGATCAAAGCCAAAGTCCACAATAAACAAATGCATCACTGTATCTCAAAAAAAGACCTAAACACACAGTCAACAAATCAATTAACACTACTGTGTAAAAACTAAGCATACTGTCATATTCTAGCAATTGAGTCTGAGCCCTTTTTGTTTCAAATACTACTACTAATATGTCAAACATAAATTATAACACCACTCCCCCTCCCCGAGAGGCACAACAGCATTTCCACAAGTCTTTGCCACCGACCTTATTTTCGTACAGCGAAACATTTTCCTTGGCGCGGTGCTTTGTAAATATTTGCTGTCTAAAACAAGAACATGCCTCTTGAGTTGCAGCGCATGTTACAGTATCCTTAGGGAAGGGCCATTCAGATCCTGCAAACACACCGACTATCACAGACAGTACCTGTTTCCGTGGCGAGATTTAATCGATCGTGTCATCCGTGCAGTTTACATTCACTCGAAATAGAAAATATTTAAAACCCCCAGAAGCAGCCTTCTGCAGTTGTTAGACGTTCTAAGTTTCAGATCACAGCAGTGCAGCAGCAAAGACAGACGCTTGCAGATCTGGATCAGTTTAGTGCTCGATACTTTAAGTATTTCAAGAATAATATTTAAGGTTATGTATAAACATTTTTAGGGTTACTGCAAATGGATGCTTTTCCATCAGAAGTATTAAACTTTAGGACAGAGTCCAGCACCACCGAGTGCTGCTGAGCCACAGTAAATTGCATGCAGTTTGATGGGGATATAATTTGCACATCGTGATTGAATCTAAAACATGGAACGAAAAGTAAAGCATAAATGTCAAGCCCCACTCACATGGCAGGAAACATAACTTCTTGGGTGGCACGGCATGTGATAAACAACCTTGATGGCGAAAATCTGAACTGTGATGATGCTGTAGTGTCAGATATCTTGCATGAATTCTGTCCGGACTGCACAGATTTCAACTTTGCAGATGCCCCCCCCCCGATACAGCAGCAAAGATTCGTTGAAGTCGGCCCATCTCGCTGTCAGGTCAGAGGTTCACACACCTTATGAAAAACCACTGTGCACTTTTCCAGCACTGAAACTGCTGGTCTTCAAATCTGAAGATTTAACTCCCTCTAGATCAAATCCAGAAGACATCCAAATGAAAGGTTCTGACTTTGTTGGTATAAGAATTGTTTTTGGAACTTTGTGCAGTTCAGCAGAGCTCACTTGAAAAGCTATTCTTCGGATTTAAGTCGGCTTGATTGGAAGAATTTTTCTTTGGAAATTATGTTGACGAGAGAAGAGCCAAACACGGCAAAACCCATCCATGCTGGTATTTAGAGCTCATAAAAACACTGTTTTTATATATGTATTTACATATTTTGCACATCCAGGCCTATGTATAAATGTATAAATTCGTAAAAGGAAATACTTAAGTGTACCTCGTCGCTTGGGGGTGTGCTAACAGTTTGAAGCTTTATTCTGTAACATTTGTACATCTTGCTGTCAAAAAAAAAAAAAAAATTTATGTGCAGGTAATAATGTTAAAGGCTGAAATATAATGTGGAATATAATATTTCATTCATTACTGGTTCTCCACTGGTGGCCGTACACTAAGCTTGCTATACTTGTGTGCGGCGCTGAAGAGCTTGGCCGTACTCTGAGCTCTGGCCAAGGTCTGCCCTGAGGACTGTGGTTGATGGCCCACCCTGCCAGACACTTTCCCTCTTCTACCACTCAGGACCACACACCTTCAAATGGACTCGCTTTGTTATCACAAGCTCTCGCAGACACATAATAGAGGTATCGTGTGTTGGAGCGCGCTTAAAAAACGACACATGCTATTAACGCAGCATGTGTGTAATGCAGTGCTGCTGTTTCCTCGCTCTGTCACAGCAGATGACCTTCGCAGATGACTGTTTTCAAAGAAAATTATTTCTGAAAAATATTGGGGGATAATGATACCTAAGATGGGTTAAAATGAACTCCGGCAGAGGCTGTCTGTATTCGTCTCGTCGCGAAAGCTAAAAATGACGTGACATAATTAGCCCGGAGCGAGACATTACACACACGGACGGATTACAGTATTAGAAAAGGAAGGGCTTATTAATAGCCCCGTTGGCTCGTGTTGTGTACTCTCTCTGGCGAGGCATCAGAACGGCCCAGTCGGGCAAACAGGCAGGTACAGTGATTCACTTTAACAGGCGACATCTGTAAAACGCCAAGGTAGTTTACACTGCGGCCGGGCCCGAATTAACGTGCTTTCGTTGGAAACAAACACCACTTGCAATCAGCTTCTGTTGGCCACCGCGCCACTGGTGTGAACGTAAATATCCCCTTACGCTGCTGCTGAGGCAGAACGGTGACCTGAAGCAACAGAATAAAGCGAGCGCCACGCAGAGGTTCGCTTCAACGGGATCCAAAACTCATGGAAGTGAAAAACTTAATCTATCACGCCGTTTCGCCAAGAGGATGTTGATGTTCTTTGTGAATTGTTTGGTGAAGTACGGTATGGTATAATCTTAATGAAAAGTAGATATTTTTCTTTTGGAGTCCAGCAGCGGTATCTACATCTTCCAGTGACTTAAGGACCTTTCTTGTGGTGTCTGGACAGCTGTTTTTGGAGTCACAGCTATGAGGGAAAATAAAGTCGGCCTTTAAGTAATAAGGGGAAATGTTTAATATCGAATGGCGCGCGCACAACCTAAACACACATTAAAAATAGCTCTTGGAGTTGTGATTACATAAAATTGCAAAAAAGGAGAAAGTCAGATCACTGGTGGAGGCTGCGATGAGGAGGCTGTGGCTGACCACCGAGAGACTGAGCCATTTCTTCTTTTTTTCCCCCCCTTCTTCCATTCCTCATTTTAATCAAGGGCCAGTCCAGGATAAACAGTGCCTACCTACACTGCAGTTCAAACAGCGAGGCCCGCTGAGACCCAAGCGATGATTTCTAAATGTTCACTGACAAGTTGGTTTAATTTGTGTGCTAAGTAGATGGAGTTTGACTTATATATATCTTCCTTACTCTGGCGTGCATACCAGTCTCCCGCTATTTCTCCACCTCTGTGAAACTTCATGGTGCTTTTTGTATGAAAAGCATACTGGTCCTCCACAAATCCTGCTGTCTGGTTTATATATGCCATGCTGTGTTAAAGGTGAGGACAGAGGACAGGTGAGACGCTGAGGCCTGAAATGAAACTTACAGCAGCTTCTTCAGACCAAAGACCATGACTGAGGACCTTGGTGATGTTCCTGCTTCTACTCTATTCAGATTTTCTCTACAGTCCGCGTCCACTGAGACCGGTACAGTATAGTTGCGGCCGCCTGAAACCCTGTCATTGTGTGGTCAGTTGTCAACAG